AAAGCAGTATTGCAATCTGCATGTGTTTTTCTTTTTAATTTTTTTAAATAAGTACATGTCGGCCGGTTTGGTCCGTTTTTTATCCTTCGACCAAACCAACCGACCAATTTTTAATTTTGTTGTAGGAAAAACCAACCCCGATCGAACCAAGTCGGCCGGCTTTGGTCAATTTGATCAAAATTTTTAGGAAGTTTTTGCTCGCACCTAGCAAAAAGGGCATTGGAGGAGAACATGGTCTAGGGACTCCTCGTGATTGAAACAAAGGCTACAAATGGAGGGGGAGAGACTTCAAGTGGGAAACCTTCTCCGATGCCTATCTGCCGTATTTAAACACCTATGGATGATGGACGACAAGAATATTTTGACCTTTTCTGGAATGTAAGGCTTCTAAATCAAGTTAACCCACCGAAAATTAGAATCTACACTCAGCTTGGTGAGCAGCTGTAAAAAGGCAGACTTAGAGGAGAAAGCACCCCCAGGATCCTAAGTTCCAAACAGTCTGGACTTCCCTTTCTTCAAGCTGGACATTCTCCAAAAGAGCAATGAGAATCATCCAACTTTCTTCCTTTCTATCAAAAAGTCCTCTTCTGAAAACCAAGTCCCAAATTTGACTGTCGGGAACCCAACAAGAAGTAATAGAATCCTCTCTTTTCGAAGAAATAGCAAAGAGATCAGGGAATTTGGTGGCCAAAAGGAGTTGATCTGCCCAGCATCCTCCCAGAAGAGAATCCAAGTGCTACTGCCAGTGGAAAATTTAGTGAAAGAGAAGATGCAATTGCTAAACTTAGAAATTTCCGTTTATAGCCTACTCTTCCCTTTGCGCCTTCTGCTTTTAGCCTTCCAACCACTGGGGTCACACCGGTAGAGCGCCGTAACTACTCTTTTTCAGAACGCTTCTTCTCTTAGATGAAATGCCACAATCATTTCATAAAGAGAGCTTTTTCCTTAGTTTAAGGAAACCAACTCCAAGGCCCCCATAATTGGTTGGCAGGGAGATGGTTCTCCATCTCACTAAATGGCTCCCCAGTTCGTAAACTCCCACTACAGATGTGTTACTCTTTTATTTTTCCTTTTCCTTTTATTTTTTGGATAAGAAACATCAAAAAGGTGTATAGATAGAGGGAAGAATCCCAAAGAGTGACAGCCTAAAGGCAGAGGGTAGAGAGAACCCTCCCCAAAGAACTAAATCAAGGCTTTCCAATCATGTAGGATGAGTTGGAGGCTATAATTACAAAAAATCTTCTTGTGGGAAGAAATCCACCACGAAGCAACATGCTTAATATTCACACAAAAAGAATCCACCAATTTCGAAATATTCTAAAAAATCCAGCTATTCCTCTCTTTCCATAAAAGCCAAAGAAGTGCTCGGGCAGCACACTTCCATAAAACACCAGCTTTTCCTTTGAGGTTAGATCCCCCAAAACCCTCAGAGATAAAGCCTTCTATTCTCCTAGGAAGACAGAAAGAAAGATCCAGTTGAGAAGCAATAAAAGACCAAGCTTTTGTAGCATAGGAACAGTGAAGGAAAAAGATGGTACACCACTTCTTCCTCCCTTAAACACATACTACAGACCGAAGGAGAGAGAATGCCTTTGCAACTTGTCTGCTGTGTTGAGGCCTCTGTAATACAGGTTCCAAAGGAAAAACTTAACTTTCTTTGGAACTTTGAAATGCCAAATTTCCAAATCTGATTTGCCATGGTCGAACTTAAGATAGGGGAAGGAGAACTCAGGGCCAAAAACTTGGAGTGGGTTCTTGTACAGGCACTTCTTTTTTGTTGGCTTACTAGTTAAATTTAATTTTTTTTATTACCCTTAAAGTTTTTTCTTTCTTAGATGTAAACAGGAAACAATAGAAGTTACTGAATTCTTGCATGGTGGGTGTATTTTTATCCCACCGTGGCTTGAAAGTACGAAAGCGACATAAAAATATAATTTATTTTGGAAAAAATGAACAACTAACTGCAGCAATGTGTCGAAGAAGACCAAAAAGTTTGTCACCCAAAACTAAAAATCTGATAACGGTGGATAAAGAAATAAACCTTGTATGTGCCTCGCAGCTACCCAAGTGAAGTGACAATATAGATCCACATCCACCAAATTTATCATTTGCACAACCATAATATACTTCCTTTATACCTAAAACAGGAGATCCAATTGAAATGAATCAATCATATTGACATCCAGTGAAGTTAGTGAAAGGTAAGTATGACATTTTGGACAAACAGTTACCTCTGCATTAAGAACAAGGGAAACAAAACAAAAGACAAAGAAAACATACCAAGTATTGATAGGGCTGAAGCGCACATAATGCACGGTTCACAGGTAACATAAAGCTTGCACTTCGAGAACTTGTCGGCAACTTCTGAGGTTGAAAGCCCATCCCTCTTCCATGCCTCAATCAAAATGTCAATAGCTTCCATCTCCGCATGTCGGGTAGCCTAAGAAAATATGAAAATTAAGTGCAAAATAAAACTTATAAACATTATAAGCAAAAACAAGGTATAAGTACTTCACAATACAATCTTAAGGAAAGTTAGGGGTAATGGACTATTTCGTGCACCCTTCATTTGAATCTAAATTACACACGCAGGGTTAGATATTATAATTCTACTATTTCTTAATGGGATAATATAAATGTCTCAGCTAGCTTATGCGAACCTGATCCCACAAGATATCTACTTGAGCATATAGCATTAGAAAACTTGTAGGAATTTCAGTGTGGAGAGGGAGAGATCTTGCTTGTTGCATCACCAATTCGTGGATGATACCACTTTCTTTTACTTGGATAAGGAAAGCTCTTTCATTATCTCCTTTCAATCTATGCCGGGTCTTAAGATGAATAGAGGAAAAGTCTCGACCTTAGGTATCACTTGTGAGCCTTCTAAGCTGAGTTATTGGGCTTCCCTAGTAGGCTGTGACATGTACCAGTTGCCGTGTTCTTATCTTAGTCTCTCCTTGGGTAGCGTCTTTCTTCTTGGAAAAAGTCTTTCTTTTCTAAATGAGGGACACTCAATCTAATTAAGTTTGTTTTAAGAGGAATTCCGATCTATGTCCTTTCCTATTCAAAATCTTAGGGTCAAAGAGCGATAGCATGGAGAAGATCATGAGGGATTTCCCGGGGTGGATGAAGGGGGTCTCATTTAGTTAGATGGGAGATCATTTCGAGGCTTTTGGGGTTGGGGATCTGGGTATTGGTAATCTGAGACATCGCAATGAGACGTTGTTGGCAATTCTTTCAAGAACCTAATGCCTTGTGGCATAGGATTGTTGTTAGCAAATATAGGTCGTACCCTTTCGAAAGCTCTATTTCCTCTGTTTTCCCCTTCTTTTCCTCTGTTCTTGAAATTTCATTAGAGTTGGATCAAATACTTACTTTTGGGAGGATTAATGGTTGGGTGACAAACCTTTTTGAGTTTTATATCTTCGATTGTACCATCTTTCTAACATGAGGCTTCATTCTATGGCCTTCATTTTGTCTTCTTGGGTAATTCTCGTTCCATTTCTACAGGACTTTGTTGGTTTTTCACGGATTGAGAGGCATTAGCGACCACAGATTTTATCTTGCTTCTGGGTGATGTTTGTCTTTATCAAGGGAGGAAGGACTTTTGAGTTTGGTCTCCTAATCTGTTGAAGGGCTTTTCTTGTAGTTCTTTCTTCCATCTTTTAAGTGCTCCATTGCTTCACCTAGATGCCCATGTCTTTGCCTCGCTCTAAAGGGTCAAATTTCCAAAGAAGATTAAGTTCTTTGTCTAGCAAAAGACAAATATTACATGGGAAAATTAATACATCGCATTCAGAGTCGCTCTTCCCTCTTGCTAGGGCCACAGTGGTGTATTTTTCACAGACATGCTTATGAGGACCCGAACCACATCCTTTGGAGGTGCCAGTTTCTGGAGTGTTAGAGTCATTAGAGTTTTTGAAGAGAAATAGAGATTGCAGGGCAATGATAGATGATATTTTGTTGTATCCTTTTTCGAGATAAGGGCAAAACTCTTTGGTAGTGTTGTTTTTTTGTCATTCTATAGGTATATGGATTGAGAGAAATAATATAATTTTTTTAGGGATTAAGTGGTCACATGAGACTACCTGGAAACTTGTAGGATTTAATACTTCTTTGTGAACTTATATTACAACGGAGTTATGTAACTATCGATTAGGTGCTCTTCTTTTGGATTGGAGCTCCTTTTTATAGGCTTGGCTTCCTTTTGTTGGGATGTTTTTTTATATGCCATGTACATTCTTTCATTTATCTTAATGAAAGCTCAATTTCTTATTATTAAAAAAAAAACCACAAAAAGGGAAGAACAGTGCCTTAACTTGGCACCAATCACTAAATAAACACAGACTCGAAAAATAAAGGAATGAAGAGGCAGAGAGAGGAGCTACTGTTGGATTACATTTCGGGTCTCAGTGGTGCGATTTCTTCCTGTGGCAATGACCATCCCATCTTCAACAATCACACAGCTGAACAACATAGATAACATTAACCTCATAACAACACTTTCATAGATAATTATAATGAATTTTGGGCATAACTACACAAACGAAATAATAAAGAATTTAATTAATGACAATATTTTCAACTTAATTTTAACCATTGGGTCAAGGCAAAAATAGTAAATTAATTTCACAACACAACATATCTTGCCAACTAACCCTGGGCATTGCAAATAGCTGTTGGTTAACAGATCCATGGACTAAATCAAGTGGTCCAAATTCCAGAGAGGCCAAAATACTGTAATTTAAAGAATGCAAAAAGCAGCTTTGGAATAATATGTTTATAGTGGTTTGCATTCAGCTTTGGATTAAAAGGTTTTTAGTGGTCTTGCAGGAAGCATGACTAGATACCGTGAGCATCCATATATATAAATCAATAGGAGATTTTTCTGTAACTACTTTGGTTTAGCTGTCTCGTGTACATTTCATTTATTTCAATGAAAATTTTTCTTATTATTAAACACACATACATATAATATATATATATATGTATGAACATACACAAACACATGCATGATGCAAACATATACTTGTGCCTCTGAGAGAAATATATACATTTTTTTACAAATACAATCCATTTACTTTACATTGTGGGAATCCAAGATAGCTTGCATACATTTTAATTAATCTCAATAAACACCCATCAAACCCAACAACATTTTATTGCTCGAAAATTCATAGGATTTTAATATCATAGGTAGGTGGTTGCCATGGAGTTTGAACCATAAACGTAAAGTCCCTCCCAATTTTAACTTGCCCCTTGACCACTAGACTGAACTAGGGTGGTTAGTTATCATATAAACATAACTTCAGTCACTCACAATAAAACTTCAGAACTCAATAGAAAAGAATTTTAGGAAAATATGCATAGAAACACGCAACAAGTTAGGCACTTACTTAAATACATGAATGAGATGAAACTACACTTAAAAAATATGTGGTATCAACATAGTTCTCTATCTACATTGCAAAAATCTCAAGATCAACTCAACCATATTTAAGCATGTCAATCAATGGAATGACAAAAACTAAAGGCCAAAAGGTAAATAGGAAGGGAACCTTTTGGAAAAAGGGACCTTGTTCCAAAAAACATCTTCAATCAGAATATTAAATGTTCTCATGCTTCAAGGGATATAACCGATTGATTACTTCTCAAAAACCCATTTGGTAGCATTGAAATCCCCACCGAAGCACCAACAAACAACAATTGTGCAACTCCTACCAAAAATTGATTTTGCCAAGGTGACAAGCAGGACCATATACCTCATGCATCTAAAATAAAGTAGTATTTTCAAAGAAGGTATTCATAGGAAGAGGGGAAAATAAAAGCCCACTCAAAACTTCAACCACAAATAACACTCCCATGCCATATAGCAAGAATGCCTCCAGTCCACCTAATGAAATAGCAACCTAAGTTTCTCAAACTTCAAATGAATTTAATTAAGAATTAATCCACCATTGACAGTTAAGGCTTTGACAAAAAGACTACGTTTGGGCCAATACTGCAATTTCCAGCTTTCACCTTCTTCTTTTCATGGTAGAACCAAAGCCCCTAACATCCCAAGTCCAAATTTAAACAACAATCTGGAGGGCCTTCTACAAATTGAGAGCTAGGAGTACGCTCCTGATTTACATAAAACAATCTCCAAACGACACACTGTAAAATGTATAACACATACGTGTTTGCCTTAAAGACAGAAACAAATATTCATTTCATAAATAAATGTAGTTATTCTGAAGCAAGAGTTCTTGCTTACATCGAGAATAGTAATAAGAAATAGACAGTGGCTTACCCCACAGGCACTTCAAGACTGTTCAATGCGAGTTTGGCCTGCCAGGACATGGAAACGTATTAAGTAGAGATAAATAAATTTGACACCATTAAGACAGACACGTAAGATTTGATAAGAATCTAATGGGTCTGGAAGAAGCTTTCAGTTGAAACACGCAGTCCTATTCAAAAACCGACTGCCCCGCAGAACACTCTCCAGTTCCAATCATTGAACTACGCATACTTTGAGTGGATAAGTTATTTCGACATAGTATGAGACTAAACTAACCAATCTTCCCTCCAAGAAAGCCATTCACCTGCTGAATTGCAAGCTCCATAAACCCAAGAGTGTCGGAAGGGCAATCCTGCCTTGAAGAATCCATCTTAACTAAGACACGATAATATCGATTGTGAGCATATAAAAATGAAGGAATAGAAGAATCCCCCGAAGCAAGATCGCCAGTTTAACAAAACAAACTGCGACAAGCTGGAGAAAAAAGTGCGCAATACAGACGAACGGGAGAGATGATTAGGGTAATTACGCAGATTTTCAGGTACAGAGAGAGAAGCAAAGAACTGAGAAGTGGTCTTCGACGTCCACGTTAATGAGGCGCGAAGAGGGGAAGCATGAAGCAAGCGGCAAGGATATAATTGGAAGAACCGACAATTCCTTGGCTCCCAGTAAGTAATTCGATTTTAAAGACAATATAAGATTTTCTGGCGATGTCAATTGTCAATCAAAATTTTGATATCTCACTTTCATAAATCATAACAAATATTACGGATAAAATATATCGATGTCAACATATATTGTTTGAAAAGTTATATAAAGATTAAAATTAAAGATTCATGAGAAAGCTGATCTGTTTTGATCTAGGAAAAAGCCCAGTCAGCCACCAACTCGGTGCAGGTCACGTGACCTATAGCTCGGCCTTCACTTTTTGAGACTTCATCTACCCACATCTCTATGTGCCCGCAGCAATCAAGAGGACTACAGGTGCTCCTCCTCCACTAAAAGCTTTGAAGCCTCTGGTTTGAGCTCTTCTCGGGAAAGAGTCTAAGCTGCCCACCCATTTCTTCTTCAATTTCACAAAGAAGATATTTAAACTAACATCTAAGTCTTTCACCTTTTTTCTATTACAATGCATGAGATAGGAGATCGAACTCATAAGTTGAAGATATATGTTAATTACCGTTRAATTATATTAGGTTTGTCAAATCTTTCACATTTATAACAAAGTTTAAAATAATCAGTATCAATATTAAGAAGTCTAACAAATCTCGACCAACGAATATGAGAAAATACTTGACTCAACTTTGACCAAAATAAGTTTAGCAATAATTGACACATATCTCCGACGATGAGGGTGCGAGTTCGTCCATCCTATCCTTCAATGTTTGACATAAATGTAAAAATAAAGATTTTATACAATAATAATAAGTTGACGCTGAGTTGTGAGGATAACTATAGTGTTGAGGAGCGCGTATTTTCCCACAAATATATAAGGTAATCCACCCAATTTTCTCCAACTGGGTCCTCTTGGCACAGAAGCGAGTCAGCCAAGGACTAGCCATTTATCCGCAGAGGCTCCCTTTGAAGACAACCATCGCCAATTTATGCACAGAACGAGAACAGATGCCAAAGCTTCGCCATTAGATCCTTCAAGCTAAATTGGACCATTCCCAGAACCAGCAGTAGCCAGCGAAAAATGCCCACTTTGAATTTGTTCACGAATGTCCCAGTCGATGCCGTCGTGGCCGCTGACATCCTCAAGGACGCAACCAAAGCCGTTTCTAAAATCATTGGGAAACCTGAAGCTGTTAAGTTATCTGTCCCTTCTTCATTGCTCTCCAACCCCACCACTTGTTAAACAACAGTCTTTTGCACACACTGTTTGTTTTATGTGCAGTTCTGGACACGCCCACATGGTGTTCGATGAAATTACTATGAGAACGTGAAGGTTATTTCGAGTTGTTGGGTCAAGATTTTCCACTGCTAGATTGACAGTTGACATGTTTTTTTCACTAAATTACCTCTTTTTCTCTGATATTGCTGCTGGGTCCACAATTTGCTTTTTCTCTGTTGATCGAACTAGTTCTTACATAGTGATAAGCAGGGTAACGTTATTCATGTTTATGCAAATGTAAGGGCATGAACTTACATTTTTCTACATCGATGGTTCAGTATGTGATGATCTTGCTGAATGGTGGCACGCCAATCGCTTTCGCTGGCACGGAAGAGCCAGCTGCGTATGGAGAATTGATCTCTATTGGGGGCCTTGGACCAAGTGTGAATGGAAAGCTTAGCTCAACAATTGCGGAGATTCTTCAGACTAAGCTCCATATTGATGGCTCCCGTTTCTATATCAAATTTTATGACGCTGAGGCAAGTTTCTTTTCGCCCTTACAAAATGTTAAGAATATGTATAAAAGGCTAAATATACTTTAGAAGCGATTAGACAAACATCATTTTTGTCCTACCCTAGCTGACTTAAATTTTTTAATTTAGTGATAATTTGATATGCTATCAAATGAGGAGATACCATGTTCAAACCTCTAACAGCCATTAGGTTTAGTGGTAATTTAAGACGAAGTGACAACAAAGCTTTTGGCCTGGCTTGCCTATACTTTTCATGGAGTAAATAAATATGAATAGAGGTAGACTTGGTGTTATATGGCTTGTCTATATAATCAATGGCAGTATTGTTCAATTCTAGAGGTAGACTTGGATACTGTGACATTAGAGTATGAGCTATTGTGTTTGAATTTCTATAGTATCATTTATTCTCCTATTAATATCAACAAGCACTATAATATTCATGGTTTCAATCTCAAGATCAATGAGAGGAGTAGTTCATGTATTTTATAAACCTTGTTAGGTTCCCTTTATCTCTTGACTAGATCCCATTTTTTGATCGGATGCTTGTTTGAGAATGTTAGGCTCTGATACCATATTAGCATTTACAGAATTCCATCTCAAAATTAATTGGTAACGAGAAAAGTAGCCAATAGGCCCAATACATCTTGTAAAACTTCTTAGATCTCCTTATCAGGTGAGATCCTTAGCAAGCACTTATTGGGTCTCGTACTAATTTCTCAACTCGTAAGTAATAGAGAAAAGAGAGGGTTAAGAATATATATACAAGATTATTGTTCGAACATATGAACTTAAGCTTTTGAATTGAGCAGTGCTCTGATATTCTCAATCATCTTAGCCTATTTAGAGTTGTTTACAACTTCATCACTGCAATGCATCTCTCGATCACACTCACGTCTACATAGCATGGTAATCTGACATTGTTAACCTCTGATGCTACCAAATTTTACCAACAGTCATACTTTTGCATAAGAAATACAATTTCCTCCATTATTCCAGACTTTATATGCCATCAACTGTGATATGCTTGTACCTATAACGTTTTTCAATATGGATGGCCTGTTGATTAACATCCAACCTGATCTTTTCCAGCGTTCATACTTCGGGTACAACGGCTCGACATTTTGATCAGTATTTTGTAGCAAAAACAGAAGAATGTCGTAGAAAATAAATATGGTGGAGTATTGATATTATTTGAAGAATTGGCTGGAACAACATTCTTTGCCCTTTATAAACTATTTGATGCGAGTGTATCATACATAACAAACTATGTTGCATCTTAATCAGTATTGAGTGTTTCTGATCTATTAAGCATAAGTAGCCAAGCTTCTTTGTTGAGATATTTGCCTTTGATTGTGTTGTGTAAAGAAGAATTGATTCTTGTTACCCTCAGTTGTTCAGGTGATTGTTAACTGTAAAGGATAAGTAAAATCTAACCCAAAAACAAAACAAAAAAACAGATCTTCTACTTTAATTTGTTGCTATGTTTGAAAATACATATTTATTTTATGTGTGTATTTATGTTCTAATATCTTTGATGGTAATATTCTTTTATTGTGTTTTTTCTAATTAATACATGTATTGTGTTTTTTCTAATTAATACATGTAGAACTCATTCAATACATGCTTGTCTATCATTTGATACTCGCCATAATCAAAATCTTTGTAACTTTAGTACATGTTTAGATGCATGCATGTAAAGTTGTTGTATCATTCATTCTCGGAATGGTAGAAAATTTTCAGCTTTTATCTTTGAACTTAACATGGCAAGTCAAGTTTTGCTTTAAAGTTTTGAATTCGTCCATTTAAACTTTAAATTATGATAAATGTTGTCATTTTTACTTTTTGTTCTACTTCTCTTATATTCGCTCTCTAATTTGAATAGAAAAAAAAATAGAGTTCACACTCATTTCAATGAAAATAAAACCTTGATCAGCTTTGGTATAGTTGTCTGGTATAGTTGTCTTTCTTTCAAGTTCTATCCATTTCATACAAAATATTTGGTTGGTAATCTATTAAATACATGTAGAAAATATTATTTAATTTTTCAATTGAAAACCTAAGAAATTGATGAAAAATAACACTAAAAATTATAACGATAGTTTATTTGCCTGAACTAAAAAAATTAATTATTGAAAGTTTAAAAATTAAAAAAAATATAAAAATATAATTTAGGTATAAATATAAGAACTAAGATTTAAACCACTATTATTAAAAAAAAAAGAATAAAGAATAAAATTAAAGTAATTAGTCGGCGCGGGAACCGGAGAGCCATTCTCCACAAGAAAACCGCGCCGCCACTGCAATCGCTTCCAAAGCTCCCCATCGCTCTCTTTCTCTCCAATGGATTCCTTACTAGCCAACTACGCCGCGTCCGACGACGAAGAAGAGCAGCAGCAGCAACCGCCACCGCAGCCACCGTCATCTCGGAGATCCGACCACTCCGAATCCTCCTCTTCCAGAAGTTCTTCTCTCTTTGCGTCTCTTCCCCCGCCCAAGCCATCCTCTCTCCTCCAGTCCCTTCCTCAGCCCAAACCATCCTCAAGCCCTTCTCTGCCCACTGGTTTCTCTGGCAATGGTAAGAACGAAGGCATAGAGGAAGAAGATCCGCACTCGGCGTCTAAATTTGGTGCCAGTTCGATTAAATCTTCCTCTCTCTTCTCTTCCCTCCCTCGGCCAAAGGTGAACCCTACGAACTCTTCGTCTTCGCTTTCCGGTTCTCGAATTGACGACGACAGTGACGGGAATCTCGCGAAATCAGCATCTATGTTCTCCTCCCTTCCAAAACCTAATTCGCAGAAGTTGCAGCAACCTAAATCAAATCCCCCGTCTTCAGAGTCCCAGCCGAAAAGAGTCGTCCTATTTAAGCCTCCCGTTAATTCTTCTTTGCTGAAATTGGGTGAAGACGACGATGACGATGACGATGAAGAAGAAGAAAGAAGGCTCAGGAAGGCATCCCAGTCCTCGTTCCAAACCCCTTCGGTTTCGTCGTTCTTGTCGAGCATTCCAGCACCCAAGAATTCGACAACGTTGGGTATTATTTCGAGCTCAGGCTCAGGGCGAAGGTCGATTCTCGAGACGGATGTTCCGGTCTCGGCTTCTGATGATTCTAAAACAGTGAAGGATTCAGGTAGCACTCAAAATATTAATCACCATACCGAAAATTATGACAGTTACGTAAATTACAGTTCAGGCGTTGAGCAGAATGTCGCTAATCATGGGGATGGGGATGGGGAAAACTATGATAATGCTGCAATTTACAATTATGGTTCAGAACAGACTACATGGAATCATGCGAACTACGATAGTTCTGGAAATCACCACTATAGTGTTGATCAGAATGTGGTTGGTGAAGCACGGTCTGTCTCAGGTGCAAGTAACACGGGTGACTATGCAATTTATGAGAATTATGGTAACCATGGCGATCACATACAATATGGGAGTGACCCTGCCGGTCAGCCTGCAATGGTGGAAACTGAAAATGCTGTTAGAATACCTGAAAAGAGAAGAAGAAATGACGTTCCATCGGAAATAGTTGAGGTGAAGCAGGATGAATTGATGAAGAATCGGCCGAGGCAGGACCAGGTCAAGGTGACTGGAATTGCTTTTGGTCCTTCTTATCAGGTATGTTACTCATAGTTTCCTGGTAAGATAGCATACAATGAGATTTTAGGCATATATAATTACGACTGAGTTTATTTCTACTTTCTTTTTGTCTATGTGTTTGGTTTAATGATAATTTTTTTTCCTGTACCATGGTCATCAGTGTAGAAGATAAGAATATACCATCCAAATGAAACATTAGATTCATGTCACAACATTGAATCTGTATGTACTGGGGTGCTTGAGATGGTAAAATCACTGGGCTGTAGGGCTTTTATATGGGTTCTTATAGATAGAGATATGAAGTTCGGTTGGGGTGCCCACCTACCTAGGATATGTAAATCTGTAAATTTTATTTTTTTTGACAATTAAATGTAAAAAAATTAGGCGGTTGTCCAGTGAGATAAATGTATACTAGTTCGAATACTCATTGTATGAAAAAGCATTTTTGTGATATGTGAAATATAAAGAGGGAAACCTCCCAAGAAGCTAGCCAGAGCTATTCTTTTTCTTACATTGGCATGTATGATTGAAATAAAATAGTTCAAAAGGGTAAATACCCAAAAGAATTAAGGTATTCTTACGGAGGTTGTATTTGGTAGTATCAACACTCAATATAGAATCGATAGAAAACTACCTCAACCGGGCCCTCCCCCAATTTGGTGCTATTTATGTGAATCTAACGATGAAATGAAAACCATCTTCTCTTCTGTTGTCCTTGTGGCTGTCGGTTTGGGAGCCTTCTCTCCTCATTTTGTTGGGCAACTCCTTGCTGAATGATATCGAGGTCCTCCTTACTCCCTCGTTTTTTATGGCATATTTTCAAAAGGAATGCAAAGGTTAATCTGGCCTACTTCGCTTTTCTTTGGTTTCTTTGGCTTGAGAGGAATATTAAGTGTTCTGGGGAGAAGTAATGTCTTTTGAGCATTTTGGGAAAGCTTTAACAATGAAATAAGGATAGAAATGGATATTTGAAGGCTTTATTTGATTGTTCTTAAGAACGTCTAAATGCAAAATAGTGCATGAAGGTTGGAATTTCTTTTTTAAGTATACTTTTTTCAGATCTGAAAAATTATTCTAGAGGACACATCCATGTAGATGCTTGACTTGGAATTGTGAGAACTAAGTGAACTGTTGCCATCTTGCCAGCTTTGGGTAGAATACAACTGAGAGTAGGGGAGTGTAAGAAAACTGTGGAAGCCAATCTGGAAACTTAGCGGCAAAGTCCCTGTTCACCATTTTGACTGCTACAAATGTCACACTGGAGGTTGATTCTCAAAGATAATATGGAAGTAGACGTGTCCAGAGAAAGTAGAAGTTTTTATTTGGACTCTATGACTGCGGGTGTTAGCATGGGAGAAGGATTGAGGCTAAATGCCAAAAAATGGGCAGTAAGACCAAGCTTAGCATCTTCCTGGAAAGAGAGAGAGAGAGAGAGAGAGAGAAAAAGAAAGAAAATCTGAAAACTCTATCTCCAGGCAGCTAACTTTCCAATTGTTTGGTCGTCTCAAAGTAAAGGGTGATCTTCAGTTGCTTCACTCTTATTCCTTATTGCATTCAACATGATGTTAAATCATTTGAAGTTTATGTGTGTTTTTTAGTTTACTGTGAGTTGGTAGTTTCTTACCGTTATGGTTTATTGTTCTCTTCAGTTTGATAATGAAATAGGAGCTCATTTATGTAATAATAGCCTCTGGTATAATCTAATAGAGATTTTGTCAATATAAGATTCTTGTGTTGTTGGCTCTTCATCAGAATATAATTCATTGTAGCACAGGCACTTAATGCACAATTCCCGGTGGATGATATTAGTTCTACGTTGAAAGGAAAATTTTGGAAATAAAGCCCCTTCTGCCTAGCGGTTTGTTTTAAATTTTGATTAAAGAGAGCATTCTTTTTCAACATCTTGTCTCTTTCCACTGGTTGGTATTTTATTTGTATAAAGGATGAAGAAACTCTACAGCCACCTGTTCCTAACTTGTCAATATATGCCAAGCAATTCTGGAATTTCGTAGCTCTCAACTTCAGTTGATGCATAGCTCCTCCAATTCTGGAATGCCAATTCGCCAAGCAATTCTCAATGAAATTGTTTGTTTCTTATCAAAAAAATAAAAAAATAAAAATAAAAAAAAAAAACCTCCTTACTTCATCTCTTGCCAGCCACCCACTCAAAATGGGGAAGCTAGTTATTTGGTGTAGCCAGTTCAATCTTCTTTTGACTTTTATGGTTTCAAAGGAACGATAGAACTAAGTAAAGGCTTTATATATATATATAATATGATCAAAGCGAGTTACAAAAAACCTCTCCAGTTGGATGAAAGGGAATAGAAACTGTGATTGCCAAATAAATAATAGCATCAAGAGAACTCCTTTTCATGAAAGATTCTTTGATTCCTTTCTAGCCATATACTAAAAAAACGCCCTAACAAAATTCAACCAAAGAAGCTCCTTTTCCTTTTCAAATGGGTGGCCAGCAAGGGTGATTGAAAGGAGAAGAGAATGATCATTTGGTAGGGCCATGACCATGACTATCCAGAAGTGTGCTACAATCACCTCCCAAAAAGTTGCTGCAAATTCACAGAAAATAAAGATGTGTCGTGTGCTTGCAAATGGGGCACCAATGGGGAGAGATGTCCATGTAGGGCGTTTTACGTTGAAGTTTATCGTGGGTATTTATGGCTTTGTGTCTGACTTCTCAAAGAGAAAATAGAACTAAGTAAGGTGTTCTTGGGTAACCATATTTTTGTTGCTCTTACTAGATGTAAATGACTAAATGGTTTGGTCAGTTTGGTAATTACATATTTGAGGGAGAAACAAGGTCTTATTGAAGTAGCGAAATGTACAAAAAGGGAATGAAAGCGTTCCAGAGGCTAAGGTGGCTACACAATCAGCACAAAGATCATTAATAGAATAATTACAATAAATACTGTTGAGCTTGGGCTCCCCTCAGTGAGCAATGGAGTTCGTGGTTGGAGGAACCTTTTATAGAGGAAGAAATTCACAAAGCTATTATGAGTTTGGGAAATCTGAAGTTCCTTGGACTGGATGGTATGACGAAGGAGTTTTTTAAAAAAGCTTGGAACATCTTGAAACCAAATTTAGTAGAGGTGTTCCAAGATTTTTTTGAAAACGGCATCATCAACAATAGGACAAATGAAACTTACATTTGCCTCATCCCTAAGAAGCTCAAAGCAAACAAAGTAAATGAGTATAGGCCAATTAGTCAGATCACTTCCCTTTATAAAATTATCGCCAAGGTGTTGGCGGACAGACTCAAACAGAGTCCTTCCTTTTATCATTGATGATACTCAAGCGCCTTTCATGGAGGGGAGACAGATCATTGATGCCATCATGGTGGCCTCAGAGGTGGTGGGGGAGTGGAAAATGAAGAAAAAGGAAGGTTTCATGTTAAAATTAGATCTTGAGAAAGCTGATGACAAGGTGGATTGGGATTGCCTAGATGTCAAATTAGATCATGGAGCTTAAGGGCTTTGGTCAAAGATGGAGGAAGTGGAACAAGGGTTATCTCTCTTCGGTTATTTTTTTTGTGATTATTAATGGCAAACCGAGAGGAAAAATATTTGCAAAAAGGAAATTAGACAAGGAGACCCTCTTCTCCTTTCCTTTTCACTATTATTGGTGATTCCCTCCATCGCTCCATACATTTCTGTTGTGAGAAAAGGCTCCTTAGAAGCTTCCCGGTTGGTAGTTCTGGTTATGCATCTCCAATACGCAGACGATACGTTTATTTTCTGCCAAAATGTTGAAGATAACCATAGTGGTGGGGTGGACTTTCTTGCAGATTTTCCTACAGGAGACAGGTCTTTCATTAAACTTGGAGAAGACTTCTTTGGTCAGTATCAATATTGAAAAGGAGATGCTGTTAGGCTAAGCTCAGGCCTTGGTATGTAAAGGAGAGCTGCTGCCCATCAATTATTTGGGAGTGCCTTTGGGAAGAAATTTTAGAAGAGTGTCTTTTTGGGACAACATAGTGGACAAGTTAAAGGCAAAGCTTGCCAGCTGCAGAAACCTAATGCTTTCAAAAGGGTAGGCTTACCTTGGCGCTATTCATTCTTAATAGCCTCCCTGTTTACACCTTTTCTATCTTTAAAGCCCCAAACAAAGTTGTTTTGGAAATGGAGACGATTGTTCGAAACCTTTTTTGGAATGGAACCGATTGTCATCCCCATCGCCACTTGGTAAGTTGGGATCGGGTCTCTTTACCTAAGAATTATGGCGGGCTAGGGTTGGGGGCCTTTAAACACAGAAACAATGCCCTTCCCCAAAAGTGGTTGTGGCAGTTCACCCAAGAAGACAATCCTTTGTGGAAGCGGGTGATTACAAGTATTTACGGAATCGAGGACCATGTGTGGTTGCCTTCCCCTCCTAAATTAAGCTCTAGGGGAAGACCTTGTGTGGCCATAGACCAACAGAGACTTTTCTTCATAAGATTCATCTCCTTCAAAGCTAAAAATGGGAGCAAAATCAAAGTTTGGAAGGATACCTGGCTGGGCAACAATCCTTTGGAATTCAAATTCCCAGATCTGTTCTGTATTTCCAATAAAAAAGACTGCATGGTGGCAGAATGCTGGAACACGGAGCAAGGGGATCGAAACTTGGGGTTTTGAAGGGGGATTATGGATTGAGAAATGCAAAACTGGTTTAGATGGTGGAACTCCTGACTTCATTTCGGTGGGAAAGTGGAGAGGACAAGGTTGAATGGGCTTTAGAAGGAGAGAAACGTTTTACTACCAAATCCACTTTTCTTAAAGCTCCATTTCTAACTAAGATTTGGAAGTTTAATTGTTCAAAGAAGGTGAAAATATTTTTATGGAGCGTGGCATATAGAAGTATCAACACTCATGATAAGCTACAGAAAAAGTTACAGAATTGGGTGTTATCTCCTTCGCGTTGCTCGCTTTGTCTTAGGGATGGGGAATCAATTGAACATCTCTTTCTTCACTGCACCTTTGCAGCAAGGGGTTGGTCCTTTTTGATGATGGAATGTGGCTTATTTGGTTGTCTGCCTCGTTTGATAGATGATTGACTACTAGAGATCATACAAGGAGGCTCCATGAAAGGAAGAGCAAAATTTTTGTGGAGCTGTGCTAGTCGAGCGCTTATATGGAGTATTTAGAAGGAAAGGAACCAAAGAGTTTTCAACAACAAATCCCCCCTTTTGATATTTTTTTTGTGAAAATGTGCAAATTACAACGACCTCCTGGTACCTTACTCATAGGAAATTCTTTTGTAATTACAATATAGCCTTATTTTCTCGTGATTGGAAAGTTATAATGTATTATCTTTTTAGGGGAGGGCCTTCTTGGCCCCTGCCCTTAGGATGTTGCTCCTATGTTGTCTCTTTTGAATGAAGTATGATGTTCTTATTAAAAAAATACTGTTGAGCTTGCACTGAGTAGCAGCATTGTCTAGAATGAGTTTAAGGACGTAATGGCGGGGTCTTTCCTTTCTACAAAAAGTCTGTTGTTTTTCTCTCCAACCATGTGGTACATAAGAAACTGGGAATGCGGTCAAGCAACTTTTGCCTTATTTTAAATGGGTCGGACAGCATGAGAGGGTAAATGCTGCCGGCAATATCACTTGTCAAGGGCTGTGGACCATCCAAACGTATCAAACATGAGCCTTCAGAATGTAGAAGCAAATAGACAATGGACAAAAAGGTGGTCTTGGGATTCTAAATCTTGTTTGCAAATAGGCACCGATGGGGGGAGAGGGCAACTCTAGAATTCCCTCCCTGAATTTTGTCTTGCATGTTGGTGCTCTTCATTGAGATTTCCCAAATAATAATCTTGACCTTTTTGGGTATTTGTTTCCTTATCACTTCGCAATTGTTGGCTGGAAGATTTGTTCTCCCGACTGCTGGATTTTGCATAAGAGAGCTGCAAGAATAGGTGCCAGTTGAGTCCAGGCTGTCCAGCAATCTGGACGGCTAGAGGGAAAATGGCCTTAAATGCTACTTGAGACAACCAGTCCAAAATTTTCCTCATCTTTGGGACCTCTTCTGAAGGTTAGATTCCATGACCCCGGGGGGTTATCCCATGGGAGAGGTGGTGGTATGAGATGAGGTGAAAGGTTTTGGTATATACTTTCGAAGGATACATACCAAAATCTGGTACCACAAACATCTCCATTAAAGAAAGTGATATTGGGGGTGATGTGGGGTCCGATCTTCATAATGTCTTTCCATGTGCCTTTATCATAAATGTAGCTGTCCTCCAATCACGAGTAGATTGGGGCAGTTCTTGTGCCAATTGGCAGAGGTTTGCTTGGGACTTGGCTTGTTCCCCCTGTTATTTTTTTCCAATCAAATTAGTTTCCTAAAAAAAATTAGTGAAGGTTGTTAGAATGCTGAATCAATAATCTTTGGACTTTGGTTGTAATATGCTGAGTTATAAATCATTTATTCAGTCCAATTTGTTAGGGGCTTTGAGAATGTTAATATTATGTGTAGTTGGAGTATTAGGGCAAGACGTTTGAGAGGTGGAATACTTCATACGCTTTGTTGGTGAAGCCTGTGTAAGCAGTTCCATTTCCATATTGTCTTCTGAGTTCTGAGGATAATTCCACAATTGGAGTAAAATAGTTATTAGAGCTGAAAATTTGAATTCAAGTGCCAATGCTTTTAAAAATGTATAACCTAACCGTGGCTAAATATGAGAGTTTTGTCTAAGGCTTGTTGATGTTCTATATTTTATATATATTTTTTTATTTCTCTGTTGCATAATACGTACGTTTGCATCTCCTTTTCTGTAGCCTGCCTCCACGAAAGGGAAGCCTTCAAAGTTGCACAAGAGAAAGCACCAAATTACTTCATTGTATTATGATATGAAGCAGAAAGAGATGGAATTAGCAGAGAGGCGTGCAAGGGGTCTTCTAACAAAAGCTGAAACACAAGCCAAATATGGCTGGTGATTCCTAAAGATATTCTGCTACGGTGGTATGTTATCTGTGAGCTCCACGGAGGTAGAGCATACTAAAAGCCATAAACTTGCATGGTTTATATGCATATATGTACACTTTATTGGTCATAATGTAATTTCACAATTTGAATGGTTCATTACAACTTCTTGCAATTCTGTTCCTTTATTGCTGAAGAATTAGGGATATTTCTCCAACGTCTCTAACGAAATCCAACACTCATCCAGGTGATTATGTTTTAGTTGGTGAGCTTCCCGAGTACTATATTTAGATTTGAAGCACATCTGTGATGTAGTAAACTTGGAAAATGCTGATGAATGGTGATAGTAGTGTAGTGGTTTAAACAGTTTGGAGGCTGGTAGATTAATTTATTCTTTTATAACCATCATGGGTGGTTCATTGGTTCAAATGGATCGAGGTTAATTTAGAGGGAATAAGTTCAAATCCTATGATGACCCACCTACGTTAGGAATTCGTAATTCCTGTATTTTCCGACACCAAATGTTGTAGGGTCAAGTGATTGCCTCGTGAAATTAGTCGAGGTGTGCGTAAACTAGTCCGCACACTCATGGATATCAAAAGGAAAAAAAATTAATTTATTCTTTTATCTATTCTAGAACTCCCTAGAGCTTGATCTTGTGAGATCCGTGCATCTGGCATCTGGCATCTGGGATTTCTTTCAATAGATTGTTTGTTAAAGTAGATATTTTAGCACCCCACCCCCCAAAAGGAGTCGGATATAGTCAGAGGTTTCTGTTTTCCATATTTATTCTCTGAAAATGTACGGTCACCAAAGTACGACCTTACCTCATAGGTTGTACAACTGTCTCCTTGAGTCCCCAAGTACTATCACCCATGTTCTCAGTACTCAATTGACATTTGACTATCATTCAGTACTAATTATTTCATGTTCTTTTTCAATTTTCTTCACCCATTCTCTTTAGATGGTTACTTCGAACATCAGAGTGAAACCAACCACAGAAGCTGCTCGGTTCATTCGAGAGGTAAGTCGACCCATCCCATTTCCTTATCATACTTTGGTCGGGTGTTGCAGAGTAATCAAATAAGTGAAGTTTGCTCTTTTTCTTTTTTCATAAAAAATTTGAAGATTGGATATTGCAATCTTGGTGTGCCAATAGAATAACTAGGAGGTTACCCAGATCCAGAACATAGAAACTCAAGTACTTGTCAAAGGGCAATATTTTATTATGTAGAGGGCTCAACTATTCGACATGGACGATTTTACATCAAGACGCTACATTTCCTATATTTGATTTCTTCTTTGGCCTGTGAGATGAATTCTCTGAACCATCCCGAAAGGAAAACTCTTTCACCAAGGAAAACAATTATGTGACAACTCCAAGAAAGAGCAAAATGAAGAACTGTGATCAGGGAGGGAGAGAGACCCAGTTTTCAAACATTCCCCAGCCAAAAGTCAAGATGATTTTCATGCATCGAACTCACTCTTTTCAGTGCGTTTTCCATTTTTTGGTTCAGATGCTCATAGGGCTCTGTGGATCACTAAGACTAAGACGTGCAATGGCTGATTCTATTTTAATCTTCAAGTAGTCTCTCTCCTCTTGCTCAGCCTGCAAATTCCATAAAAGGATGATTTTAGTTACTTCTTGGAGTTCAAGAGTTTGCTGTTACTTGTGAACTCCTAAAAAATTATGAACTCCTACCTCCAAAAGTCGCTTTACTTATTTCATATGACCACTACTATACCATACCCCACAGATAAATAATAGATGGGAGAAGCATCAATCATTATTATCTTTCTCCTGTTTTAGTCTTTTTTGCTTTCTACGAAAAAGTGAAAGCCAAGCAGTTATCTCTGTCAAGCCAAAGTAGCAGCACTAGTTTTGTAATTATTTTTTAACTTATTATTTAATTAAAGAAACAACTAAAATTTTGAATTTTATATAATCAGCTTAAAATATTAAATATAGCCCTTTTTTGTTTTGAAGTTTTAGCAGCCTTCGCAACTTAAGAATATTACTAATAGAGTCTGAGAATCGCTACCAAGAATTTTTAAAAATGGTGGAGGAATGGTTATCACATGAACTATAACAATTATATTTTGTATTGAATTTAATCAACAAACAACTTATTTTTCAAAAGCATTTTTCCTAACAACTGAACCAGTAGTTAGGTGGCGTCTATCATATAGGTGGAGACCTCTACATATAAGACAGGTATATATTGACGACTATTTCGTTTTTAATTTTTAGCTTTTATTTTTGTTTCGGTACCATTTCATTAGAAAGTCATTCACCTCTCTTAAAAATATATTTGAATCTTTAATCAAATTAAAACAATTCTAATATTGATCTAAATTTTGAAAATGTTTATAAAAACTATATAACAAAACAAGTTTCTACTTGTTAATTTTTAAAGACAGAAAATCAAACACCAGATGATGATCAAACGGGCTTTCACTTCCCTTTTTTACAGACACAACACATAGGACAAAACTTTGAACTCAAACATAGGCAATTATTTTCAAAAAGAGAACTGATAACATGAAATCATCACGTATATGTGAACTGGAAAATGTGTATAATTGAGCGCACAATGATGGCAAATAAGACGGGAAGGGGAAAAGAAAAAAGACAAACATGGCAAAATTATCCCCTTCCTAACCCCACCAAAAATTCAGAATATCAGAAATAGTGGATCTTCCACTTTGGTAAAGTGGGTGCATTGACCATGAGTCTATAAATTTGTAAAGTCACATCCTTTATCTCTATTCCATGTCTTTCTTTTTCCTCTTTTACTCTTTAATCTCCCCTTTGTGTTTGTCTGTACAACATCTCATTATTGGTTCCTCATAGACCCACCTTCTCCACCTACTATTCAGAATCAAACAAAGGCTGGCCTTATGCCCCACTCTGTGCTCTGTATTCTAATTTTGCATATTTCTAATAAATAGATCTCCAAATAAAAGGTTAACATTTAAGTGTTAAAACAGCTGTCAAAATGCAGGAATAGATCACTTTTATTCTTTTCAATTTCATGTAGTTTCTTTCATTGTTCGAGTCGATGTCACAAGTTATGAAACACAGTCTTTTCATTTTCATAATTTCTATTCACTATGTTTAGCAAAGTTTGTGATACAATTTTAGAATTATTTTTAAATGAGCAACAAAATGTGGCACTTTATTCATCTAAACCACAAAACAAGAAGAGGGGGAAAATAATGGTTGCTTGTATAAAATAATTTTTAGAAATTGTGTTGAAGTTGTTAACTGTATTTGTTTAGATTAATTTTGAGTTATTCACAAAGTCACATTATTTTAAAGAAAAATATATTAATATATTTTTTAAAACAACCATGTTTTACTCAATTTTTATTTAAAAAAATAATAAAACATGTTTCATATACAATTCTGAACAACCCTTTAGCCCCAACATGTCACTTACCTAGCCACAAATGCTACACCACAATTTAGATGTCTATATATTAAATAAACTTCAAAATTTTAGAAAATTATGTTTCAAACAAAATTAAGTGAAAGAAGAGAGAATGTCATAAATGCTCATGGTAGATTCAAACCACCATACAAACGAGACAGAACATAACTGCTCGAAGAAAACGACATAAAAGACATTCTACTTAAAGTTTAAACCACCATATTCATGTCTCAAAAGAAGAAAAAGAAAAGAAAAAAAAAACATATTCAGACAAAAAACAAGATTGCATCTCTCTCTCTCCAATCTTCTTCCTTCTATGGAGGCTTAATTATGGGTTTGGTAGCACATGATAAATATGTCTTCTCTCCATGATTTAAATACCACAGAAAAAACCACCAGATTTCCTATTCCATGAGGTTTTTTTTTTCGTCTCCCCTCTAATATTTTGTCAAATAGTCATGATTGAAATATAAAGTAGTTGAACTATACCCCCTTTATTTGGATTGATTCATTCTGCTCATTCAGTCTTCATATGCATTTAAGACCCCATTTGATCAGGTTTAGGAAAAAAAAATCCAACAAAAATACTTCAAACACTAAAAACAACAGAGAAACCCAGTTCCAATTTGTTAAGAAGAAGAGAAAGAGAGAGAGATAGAGGGCAGAGGGCAGAGGGAAATTACCTCAATGAAGACAGTTTTCAAAAGCCTTCCAGAGACAGCAGTGATATTGGCAGTAATAATCTTGAGCTTCAGTGATTCAAAAACTTCACACAGTTTAACCATTGAATCTGCTCTTTTGCAGCATGTCAAACTCACCACCATTGTTCTCTCCCCCATATATGTCACACTCAGCTGCAAAATTCCAATTCACATGCCAAATCTCTTCAGAATCTTTAATCAATTCATTATTTGGAATTTCTAGGGATTGGAGTTATATAGAGACAAGGAAGCTTACATCTAGCACTTCAATGGGGGAAGTTCTTGAAGCAGCAGAATCATAGCTGAACTGCTCTGTTTTCTTCCTCTTTGATCTGAGCAACAATGGGAGCTCCTGGTCGAAACCGTACCCGGTTATGTTCTTAAATTTTCCCGATTCGATCTCGTAAATTTCAGCCTGAATCCTCCTCTCTTGTTCGTGCAAATCCTGGATGTAATTAATCGCATCCTTTATGATCGAAGCCTTGTCCATCTGCCCAATCCATTCACTCGATCAATTAACTTAAAATTTTCAATAGTTCAAAATAGGGCAAGTAAAATTGAATCGAACAGCAAAAATTTGACCCTAACCTTAGTAATATTGGGGACGACCGATCGAAGCGCGAAAAGCCTCTCGTTGAGCTTCCTCCTCCTGTTCCTCTCCGATAGTATGTTCTTCGACGCCGCCGACGACGACAGAACTCCCTCCGGCGAACTCGAATCATAGTAACCGGAAATCGCCTCATCCAATCCCCAACTGTCTTCACCAAAATTCCGGAGTCAGGTCAAAATTCCACTTCAAACATTCCTAAACCCTCATTTCTACAGATCAACATTTTCAAAAAGAGCAAGAAAAAGAGAGAAAGAAACCTGTCAATCTCCTCTGCTGGTAGGACGATGTTAGTCTCCCAGTAGTAGCTGTAATCCTCTCCAATATTATCCATATTCCGGCGGCGGCGACGTCGTTTTCCTGATTCTTGCTTCCACGGAGAGGAAGAAATCTTTTCCCCCTCTTTCGTTCAACGATTTCTTTTTTTAATTATTTATTTATTTCTATAATTTTCTGTTGCTATCACTCTGAGCCTCTGAATTTGGGTATGGTTGGAATTTCCCGTTAGAGATCAATATATATAGAGGTAAAGGGGGAAGCTACTGTCACCTGCGCGGCACATAAATCCAATCGTCACCCGCGTGTGTGAAGTCCTGATCTTTCGTGGAAAAATCTCGACCGTCCAATGGATCGTGGGAACGATTCTTTTCATCTTTTGACTCACATCCCACTCGTTGAGTTGGGGGGTGGCGATTTTATTTCAAAATCATCTTTCAAACTGCCATTTTTGTACGAAAATGTTTGCTTTTTTGCTTCTAAAATTATGTGTTAGGGGAAAAAAAACATGTTAAATATTTCTTAAATAATTGTTCCGAAGTGTTTCTTGATTTGGTAAAGTCTCATTTAAGGACTTTAATAAATTGTTTTGACTATTCAAAGGATAATAACCCTTGTTTTTTCTATCATATATGTATTTTAAATGCCAGTTTTAGTATAGAATTTTATTTCTTAATTTTAGCTATATTTTTTTTAAAAAAAATAATTATCAACATGAGCATGACTCAACTAATTAAAATATATATTTAATTCAAATCCTCACGTACTCAAAAAGTAAAAATGGAAAAAAATCAATTAATTGACTAAAAACAACTGTAATTAAATAGGTTCAATGGACCATCAAAATCAAGATGACAATCGAATTGGTCCCTAGTTGTTATCCACGTCATTTTCATCGGTTCTTTATGTTTTAATTAAAACAAATTAATGATAGTTACATGGGTAGATTGGTGGAGTAAAATAATTTAGGAATATCTTTCTCAAATTATACTATATGGTGGCACTATCAAAAAAAATTTTATGGTCAAATTAATGGACTAAAATAATTTATACAAACAAAGACAAATTAAGTTCATACAGTAAATTGTCAATTTAAGAATAGTTGAATTGATTAATGTGACTATCTACGATATAAAGATCATGAATTCAAATTAAAAAAAAAATCCTCTAAAGTTGCTCATCTAATTTACTCAAAAAAAAAGAAAATATTAATAATAACCGTGAATATCATACTATGGGGTCAAAGTCATTATTTTATTTTATTTTTTTATCTTTGAGTTCTAGTCAAAGTCAATAGATATTATGGTCAGAAATATTGTAAGCTATTTTGACTGAAAGCCTCTATTTGAACAGAAGTTTTGGTTTATTTTGACTGAAAGCCTCTATTTGAACAGAAGACTTGGCTCAACCAAAAGCATACTTGACTTTAATTAGTTTGTGCATAATTGAGTGATTATATTGCTTTTAGTCATGATCATCATTACTATTTTTTTTTTTTGAGAAAAATAGAATTCAAAATCACTGACATTTTAATTAGAGATAGATGTATCAACCAATTGAATTATATTTCATGTTAGTTTTATGGATACTTATTTTTATTTCAATAAATTAAATTATTTTTTTATTAAAAGTGATGGTATTGTATCATTATTATAGTTTTTCATTATATCATTAAAGAAGATATATTGACAAAAGGTAAATTGTAAACAGAACAACCTCTTTATTTGTAAATATAGCAAAAAAAAAAAAACAAAGAACAAAAAATACGAAAGAGGTTGACCCCAAATTAAAAGAATGAAAATGAAAGACTCTTGCATGGATCATATACCAAATATATGAGTGATATATAGAGATATTGATTTATGAAAATAACGATGACAAAATCAAAATAACACACGTATATAGATTTATGGAAATGACGAAGGTAAAATCAAAATAACACACGCATGCACATACCTTATGAAATATATAAATGATATATAAAATATATCGATTTTAAATGACGAGAGCAAAATCAAAATAACAAATATATATAGATGATTTAAAATTTTTTGTCGCATCTGCAAAACAAACAATTTAATTAAAAATTAAAAAGAATACTTCAAATGTTTTTGCTATCATTGAAAATACTCCAAATTTAATGGCTAAACATTTGATATTAAAAATTTTGAAAATTAATTATATTGGTTATAGTTTACAGAGTTAAATCAGGTACATTTAATTTTTTTTTTTTGAAAAGGACGTACATTTAATTTTTTTTTATTAAGAAAAGTCATAGGTATTTAATAGTTTCTACTCATATAAGTTTGGATTTTGTCACACTTTCAATTGGTTCAATTTTTTGGCTTACCAACTTGATTTGATGGTGCCAACATGAGGATTATTCCACCAGTAAAACTATTATTTATCTTCCTACTTGTTATAATATTTAAATTCTTATTTCCTTTTGTTGAACTAAGAAATATATATGTAAATTTATCGATGGTTATCACATCTAATTAGAGAGAGAAATGTGATTGCAGCCAGTACTAATTAATAAAATTTGAGTTTTAAAAATGAAAATTTTTTGAAAAAAACAAAAATTATTGCCAAACTTTCTAACTTGGGTGAGTCGTTTTTTTTTTTTTTTGGTTCTACATTGAGGTTGAGTAAAAAAAAAATGATGAACCATTTGTGATATTTAACCCAATCATAAATATTAAATTAAAATCAAGCAAAAATTAGAAGGATAAAAAGAAATCCAAACTTTTTTTTTTTTGGTAGAAATGAGAGATTGTGGGACACGCTCCTGGGGAGAGCGTGAGGTTACAAAACGTCAACGTTTGCACTTCCGATTTTCTCTCTTTAAATTTGCACGTTCGATATAAGATAGTGAATCATGATTATGAATAAGGATAAAATTATGAAATACTTAATTTTATTTTTTTATTTATTTTTTTTTATGTACGCCGAAAATGATACAGTACATTCTGACTTTTTGACTTTTTCAAAGAGAGAAAATTATGGGCTTTTTAAAGTTTCCACGTGGCTTCATCTGGTTGGGTCATACTCTATTATTGCTATTATTCGAATTAGATCCATTGATTATGAATTACAAATTACAAAACTTTTTAGGAGGGAGGGAAACGAATCATAGAAGAAGGGGGAAGAGAGAGAAAGAGATGATGAAAATGAATTAAAAAATTCTACATAATTAAAAGAAATATCAAATTCATTATAATTTGATGGAATTTTTATATCTATTTTCTAAGGCCAAGATTAAATTGTCACTTTTTAAAATTGGGAAATCAATAGAAATCTATTTGGGACTAAAAGTATGTTTTACTTTCAAGATTACTAATATACAGAATATTCTGTTTTATTAAAAAAAGTTATTTTAATAATTATCTAATGTTAGTCCTTTTCCTTGTCTATTTAATCGTGTAGATTAAAAAAAAGTTAATTACATTATTCATAAATTTTAAACTATACTTTTTAATTACAATATTTAACTCATCAACATGCTCATCATTCTTTTTAATAAACATTATTCCAATAAAAAAATAGAAAAAAAACATGACTTCTTAAGAATGCCACCTCAAGCTGGGGTCGGGATTGAATATTTTTCCTAATTTTATCATTAAAGATAAGATATCTCAAACTTTAAACAAACGTGAGAGTGAAGATTGAAAATTTAACTCTACACAAACTATACTCAAATTAATTTTAAAACATTCAACTTATCTATAATATCTAGACTACTGGTTAAACATAAAATTCATGTTTTCTACCTCTAATTATGAGTAGGAACTTTTTTTTTATTTATAAAATTTAAAATTTTTACCACATTAAATACTGATTTGATTGGACACTTGAAAAGATTGGTATTAGGTTTATTATTATTTTTGTTTTGTTTTTGGTGCCATAAACTTTAGGGCAATTCAAATAAAATTGAGAATGGGAAGGAGAGAATCAATGCATAAATTCAATTGAAACTTTATCCTTTCAAAAGTGTTGGGCTTTGAGGTCATCATCTCTATCTCCCCATTACATCATCGCCTTACCTCACTACCCATTCCTTTTGCTTACCTCAAAAAAGCAAAGAATCCATTTCTTTGCGGATTTCTAGTTCTAGTTCATCTTTATTAATTCACTTTTTGGGTCACAGCCGACCTCTTGTGGGATTGATCTTATGATTGCGAGTGATAATAAATTTCTCGTTGGCAATCAAAGAGAAGATGATGTTTGTGTTGGGTTTTATGTCCTGAAACTCATAGTTTGAAAATGCCAGATATACTTTTATCTTTCAATAAAGTTGTTATTGAAGGTTTTAATCAATAGGTAGTTATTGATCCTATAAAATGTTCTTACTAGATCTAAATCCAATAAAATAAAGGATCCTAGACTGTTACCTGAGACTCAAACTCTATGTAAGAGACATAAATATGGAT